ATGAACTTACAGATAAGGACATAATACAAGTTCAGTAAATCATCGACTTGAATTGGCCTGTCCATATTAGATGAGCACTATGAAGACCAAAGACAATCTCAAGTTAATACTGTAGCACTTCAGGGGATTCTAGTATCAGGTAGTCACTCCAGACCCTTAAATTTACTTCTGTGACTCACTGTCATAACCTGTCACTTACTGTTTTAATGTGTCCTTATTTGTTAACACTTCTACATCCTAAAATCAGATAGATATTCTTCACAATCTGTTCATGTTAATTATACTATCTCCTGCTCAGAGAAAGAGACTCCTCCAAGTACTGTAATAGCAGAAAAAAAATATATGTATATCTCAAACTTTAGAGACTCACTGATGACTTCACTCTGAATTCCATACTAATTTTACAGGATTTACATTTTTGCTCCACATTTGCTCATTTATGAAATAGTGCAATTTTTTTCTTTTAAGTATTACATTGAAATAATGTATCCCTGGTGTGGTGGTGCATGCCTTTAATCCCAGTAATCTGGAGGCAGAGACAAGTGGATCTCTATGAGTTCAAGGCCAGCCTGGTCTACATAGTGAGTTCCAGGCCAGCTGGGGTTACATGGAGACCCTGTCTCAAAATAAAAAAAAAAAAGGAAGAAAAGAAAAAAATAATAATATATGAAACTCAAGTAAGTGTACTCCTCAAACACCACAGTTCTCATATATTAACCATTTTTCAGTTATTATTGTATATTTCTATTCTAGTTTACTGCTAGAAATAGTAATGTAAATATCATATCTTTCTTTTAACCAACTTTCTATATATTTCTTAAAGTCACACAATCTTAGGTGTTATGGACATTTGGATACTGAATTGCCAATCTTTCTTAGATTTTATAACTGATGGTTTTAATAGGGGATCAGGAAGAAGATAGTGCAGGTTAAAGGAAACTAGATTTTTGAACCTTTTATGATGGTGATCATCCATTTAGTTGTCCACTTGCTTAGTGAAGGAAAACCACTGTGCAATAACTTGCTGGTATGGAAAAAATATAAAGGTTGTATCTGTTCATTAACTTACAGTTTGCCAAAAATGCCGTAGTAACAATGTTCAGCACCTATTTATTGAGTGCTCCTGTGTTAAAGGCACTGCGCGCATCCAAAGATAAAGCGGTGAAACAGACCTGGAGATGATCCAATAGGGCTATAAGGCCAGGATCACAATAAGAGTCCTCTCAAAAAAACCTTTCAAGTGACTTTATACAACCATGCTATTTTTTTTTTAAAGAATTCTAGTTACAGAGAAAATCATACTTTACCTTTAGTGCCTTCACAACTGATGAATTAGATGTTCTTATAACATAAATTTAAAGAAAAAATAATCAAGGATCACTAGCCAGTAGGAAGCAAGCTCATATCTCATGGATTCAGTCTGTGACTATAGATCCCTCACAGATGAGTTTACAGTGGTGATATTTTTCTGAGCATATGTAGGTGATGTAAAAGCTTGTTTAAAAAAAACAACACTATGAATATGAGGACTGGTGAAAGCAATGCTTGAAATCTTGACAAAATAAAAATTATCTAACTGGACAAGAGAGATGACTCAGCAGTTAAAACCACTTTCTGCTCTTGCAGAGGACCCTGGTTCAGTATTTAGCACATACATGGTGGCTAACAACCTTCCTTAACTCCAGTTCCAGGGGATCCAACACCCTCTTCTGTCCTCCACAGACATTGCACACACATGGTTACTTAAATACATGTATGCCAAACACATAGACACATAAAATAAAAATAGATTAATTTAAAAATTTAAAGGGGATGGGATGCAGATATGGCCCAACAGTTAAGATTACTGGATGCTCTTGCAGAGGACCCTGTTTTGATTCTTAGCATTTACCTGTAGTAACTGCAGTTCCATGGAATCTTCTGCCTCTCCTGAACTCCATGAGCATTGTCCACAAACATTGCCCATTCATACATGTATGCAAATACTCATATACGAAAATGTTAAAAAAATAGATACCTGATTTAAAAATATATTTTAGACGTGAAGCCCTCTATAAATATAACATGCCACTATATATTTTCAAAGATTGTTGTCAGATAAATAAGTATGCAATTCTAATGATACTTTAACAAAAATTAGGGTACATATGGAAAGAAAATTTTTCCAAAAATATTGTTTGAATCAGTCTTTGAGCCCCAGTCCCTGAGTCACCCTTGAGGACGCTCCAGATTTCTCTTGGTGTCCTAATGCTTCCTGATGCTCAGTGCCCAGCCAGTCTTTTACCCACAGCTGTCTACTACAGGCTATTTCCAATGAGAAAAAGAAATGTTTTTCAGTTTTTGTTTGCATAAGACAGGATCTCTTGCAGCTCAGAATGACTTCAAACTCTCTGTACAGCTTTAAAATGACCTTGAACTTCTAATCTACCTTGTTCTACCCTCTTGGTACTGGGATTACCAGCATGCATCACCACATGGTGTTTATGTAGTATTGGAATGGAACCTCGGGCTTCCTTCATGCCAGGTCAGCACTCCACCAACTGTGCTACATCGTTAACTCCAGGAACAGTATCTTATCATTTTCCCAGCTGTCCAGTATCCTCACTCTTTTCACCCCACTGTTGATGCAATTAATGTGGAGAGTTGCTTTATGCTGATTGAAAATTATATGTATTTGATGATTCGCTGAGAAATTTCAGGAGGACCATTACTAATATCCAAGGGATTGCTTATAATTATCATAAAAAGAAAATAATGAATACATTTAAACAGAAAATTGCCTTCAATTGTGCTATATTTGAACATCCAAAATACAGGGAAATGTATTCAGCTATAAATGTCAGCTCCTGGTAGAGACTGGACCAGCTAAACACGGTCAGCCCTAAGTTCATAAAAGATATTTTCTAAGAATGAGAAAAATTTCTCTCCAGCCAGATCCCCTGGCACAAGCTTAAAAAATCTAACAACTTGTGTGCTAAAATTTATGGGTTCTTCCTTAGCTTGGACAAGTGTAACTGTTTCTTACAATAAGCTAAAAGGGTCTAAATAATATAACAATAAATGAAAATCGTTCAATTTTTATTCAGCTTATATGATAATGCAAACGTTCACAACTGTAACACAAACGTATTTACTGATGTGTTGCTACTTAAAGGAAACTTGGTAGTTTAAGAGTACCAATGAAATGGCCTTACTGAAGAGTGTGTCTTGAAATCTAATCTCTCTTTTTAAAGAGCCACAAACTGTTTGATTCAATATAAGGTCTTTAAATGTACATTTCAAAATGGCATTGAGTTTTTACTATGGCTATCATGCAGGCTAATTGATCAAGCCTAGCGTTGCAGCTCTGCCAGTCTATTTAGTGGCCTAAAATAAACTAAATAAATAAAAGATGTCCTAGGCGTCTACATCTTTGTATCCACCCTGCCTTCTATATCTTCATATCCAACTATTGCAGAAAGGAAAGGCAAGGTTCCTTAAGGATAATTTAACGGTTATTTTTTTAAAGTTCCTGCAGTTTTCAAAATCTAACCAAGAGTGTTCATGAAAGTTTTGTAGTACTTTTATGAAGTCTGTAAAGCTCTTGAGGCTTAAAATGGGAAAGAAGACAAAAATCTGAAGAATCAACATTTGAGGTTTTAGATGTTAAGTGTTTAGGAGTATGAAAAGCAATTTACTATCTGTAGCTCCTAGCACTATAAATTTAAGAATGAGTGAACGAATACTTATTCTAGATTATCTTCAAACATGTCAAACAGTTTTAAATATGTACCTAGAAATACCATATTATCTAGATATATCAGTTCAGAAGAATGATTTTTAATTGTTAATTGCAAAGAAGCCATGTTCACTTAATCAGTCTCATCTTTACAAATAGAATCTGAGAAGGATTATTGTTTAGCCACTTTTGTATCCTCTTTGTGGGAAATGTTTACAGCTTTTAAAACCCTCAGAAAAATGTTAAAAATATTTTAAAAACATGTTTATTAAAATGAAAGTACAGTTGTCAATGAGAAATATCTTCTACCCTT